ATATATATATATATATTTTAGGTTTTTACATTTCAAAAACAAAAAATAAATAAGATTATGTAAATTATAAAAGACATAAATTAAATAAATTTTACTTATTTTTTTAATGCAATAAATATATTAACAAAAGTATTTTAGTAAAGAAGTTAATACTTGTGACATAATATATTAGGTTTTATAAAAAATGATCAATCTAATTTGTAAATATTGAATCCTATGATAAAGATTGAAAATAATATCATCTGTAAGTAAAATATTTTATTAAATATTTGTTATTGACTATATATCTCATATTTGTTAACATTTTAAAATGAGAAAATTAAAAATAGATAACTTAATTTCATAATCATTGAGGACAAGATTCTAGTTTAATAAGATAGAGTCATATGAATGTTGAGTGATTTCACATTCATATGATGGTATGAAATATAAAAATGAAATGCATGATTATCAAATAATTTTTTTATTAATGGATGTTTTATTATAAAATAATAAATTAAAATATAAACTTAATTATATTTTTTATTATTCATTTTTTATGATATGATCTCTTTAAAGTTCGATCTAGTTTATTTAATAAAAAAAGTTAAAATTCTAATTTGATCCCTTATAATATTATAAAATTTCAATTTAATTCTATTTAAATTTTTAGATTCAATTTAGTCCCACTTGTAAAAAATGTTGATAATGTTTGTCTTTCATTTAAATTTTCCACACATTTAGAGAGTGCCTAGGTGGTCAAGAATATGTTGCCAACGTGTTAATTGAGAGCCACGTTGGACGAACACCTTTGGCTCGAGTTTTTCTTGGTCATTTTCACAAATACTTATATGCTCAACGTTAACCTAGATTATTGTAACCTCATAGTGATGTTGTTAGGGCATCTTCAATAGAAGCAACTCATTTGAGTTGCTTCATGTATTGAAAAATGAAAAAGTTCACAAATGTTTTTTCCGTGATTCATTAAACTAAAAAGTTCAAATTTGATAAAACTTAAAATAAGTGGCAAAAGTGAACATTGAAATATAGATGAGATGTTTGAGATTGTGTTTGTTTCACTATTTTTAATGGATTTAAATTCATTCAATATCAATTCCTTGATAAAGTGATTTCAAGATTCCTCTCTTGAATATCAATAGCTTGCCTATTCATGAGAGAAACTTGTATTAAGAAAAAATCTTTCTTAATCTAGTTGGTTACATCCAATCCCAAAAAGAATTGAACTCTTTACCCTTGTGGTTGGAGATTTGGTTTTTAATGATGAAGAATTTTATTTTTACAATTATTGTATATGTATGTTGGGGTAGAGGGTGTCACAGTTATTAGACCTATCGTGCAACCTGTTATCAATATTATTAATTTTATAATTGAATTAATAAGTTACAATAAAGATATTATTTTATTAATAAGACTTTTCATTATCGTTCAAAATAGAAATCGGTGTTTAATTAAGATATAAGAGTTGATTTGATATATGAGTAAAAAATAATATAATGGTTATAATTGTGAAAAATAGGAATACAATAATAAAAAAAGACTTTTATTATATTTGTTATAATTGTTAACATAGATCAATTTGTTAGACTTAATTATAAGTTTCTTTTAAAAACTTAAATTCTAATCTCTTTATTTATGATTTGAATATTTTTTAGTCCTTGAAGAAAAGAAGCCAAGAAAGTATATAAATTAAGATATTATATTTTTATGAGAGATTACAATGTGTCAATTGTATAAACTCTCATCACTGGGCACAGCAACTGGTTCAGCCGCAGGGTAGTCCAACGCAACACAAGCATTCCAAACATTCTCACTTCTATGCAAGATCTGATGTTCATTCGGGAACTTTTTTAATTTCAAAATATATTTTGTCATATCATCATGGCATGCTTTTCCAGCATCACTCACAAGTGTGTCACAACATTCACCACTAATTGTTTGGCTACCATAAAATACAGCTGAGAATATCTCGTCACCACAACCTGGGTCTAACTTGGCTGCACAGGTGCTTAGATGATCATCATCATACGATGATGATGGTTCTGGTGCATTTGATGCTTCTGCTTCTGGAATATCACGTGAAACCCCGGTTTGGATCATTAATGCAGAACTAATCACGAAACATAGAACTATCATAGAAATGTTGCTGAATGTGGCCATAGTTTGATGATCAAATATAAATTTAAGCTATGCTTAGTTGGTAACTATAGAAGAAGCTTTGATCATGGCTTGAAATGGTTGGAATAAACCTATATTTATAGGTGAATGTTGTCTTAATTATGTGGAACTGACTCATCTTATAATTATCTTTAATTATGAAGATTTTTTTTACAGGATCTTTAATGAAGAAATAAAAACCTAAATTGACTAATGTGAAAACAAACACCCGTTCGGTTATTAATTCACGTACTAACGTTTCCACCGTATTTTTAAGTTTAACCTAACTTATGGGAGAAACATTAATGCACTTGACACGAATCGGTATTGACATATTGTTACAACTTGCAAATCATATTTATTTTCTATTGTACTTTTCCATTCTCAATTTTATCATTATAATTTTAGTTTCTTTATTTTAAAATAGAGATATTTAATCTTCAAAAACACAAAATTCTGATTATCGTGTTAAATTGAAATCTTTGTTAAATTTTAATTATAAGTGATGTGATATTTAAAAATTAAATTTTTTTTAAAAAAACATGAAAATAAAAATTATTAATAAATAAATATGAATCACTACTTAAAATATAAACAAATAAAGATCTTTTATATGTTATTTTTAATTTTTATCTTTATATGTTATTCATTAAATATCACATTATTTAAGTGATGACTAATTAATAACCATATAAAATAAAAATTTAATGATTAATGCATATTAAATTGATAATAGTACTAGAATTTAATATTTTAAAAATAGATGACTAAATGTCTATATTGTAAAATAAAGGAACCATTGCAGGTAAAAAAAAGTAGAAGATTAAAAGTACAATTTAATCTATGTTTTTAATCCTTATGATAGATTACAAAGATAGTAAGAAGATATCAAATTTAAATTTTCATACTTTTATTCCAATTCTTTCTCTCTCAACTATTATGTTAATCTTAGTGGGAGATACAATTTATAGGAACTTCAAACTCTTAAAAGAATTAAATAAAATAAAAAGAAATACTAATTGTGATACTTGTTAAAGATTTCAAATATACGAGTGTGGACAATGACAGACTTACATGGTGGCTAGACCAGAGCATACAAGCACCCCCTCAATTTGAAAAAGATAATTATAAATATACTTTCCTAATTTTATGCATTTGAATTCACACTTTTTAATTTTTTACTCATTACAAATAAATATTTTATATTTTTATATTTTGTTCTAAATTTTATATATTTGAATTTATTACATTGATGTCACCATTGATTTTGAGTTTTATATTTGTCATTAGATATAACCATAATAGTATACATAAATAGAGAGTCATCACCTTATAAGTTAGTTTTATAAGGTTTAGTTATATTCAAATCCATTTTTTTAAGATGATACTAGAGTTTATTGTAACAATTATTGATTGTTATTGTAACACACCAATTTTCACAGATTATTCGAAAGCTCAAAGCCAAATAAGGGTGATTTAACAGTCCAGAACGGGCCGTTCCCAAACTAAAATGGGTCGTTCCAAACTACTAAACCTTTGACTTGAAATAAAGCAGCTAATGGTGCTTATTGCTAGAGATAGAGTAAATGCCATTGTCTTTCTTAAGCTCTGGGTTTTAAAGCTGGTTTCTTGGTTAAACTATGCAAGAGATTGATAGTTTAAGTTAGCAACTTAGATTCCAACTTGTAAGAGATTAGGGTTGGTTACTTTTGAGAGTGATTGATAAATTCTAAATAATAACTATTGTGAACTTAGTGATAAACATGAGAGGAAGGTTTAGTGAAGTCAAACCCCAACAACTTATTAATATTGCATTAGAATCAAGTTTTGCACTCTAAGTGTTTACCAAAATACCAAAAAGAATTGTTATTGCTTGTTTACATTATTTACTATAGCAAATCAAACTCTTATTGCTTTTCGGTAGCTTAATTAGTATAACAAGTGAAACTGCAAAGTGTTGCGAAAGTCCCTTGGGAGACGATACTCATACTTTCATTGAACTACTTATACGATTTGGTACACTTGTCAAGGGAGATAACAGTGATGAAATGATATAGTGAATGTGTGACATGCACCATGTGCATATATGATCTATTCCAAGTGTGCGTCTTAGTCCGCATACTAGTGATGTAACAAGCTAACAAGGTGTTCCTTGGGTCACCAGTGATGTAACAAGCTAACAAGGTGTACCTTGGGTCACCAGTGATGAAATGATCTATTCTAGGTGTGCTGCTTAGGCCGCATACTAGTCATGTAACAAGCTATTCTAGGTGTACCTTTGGTCACCAGTAATGTATTCATGAAGTGATGAGAAATGTGAAACTTCTGTATGGCGCCACGTGCATGCATTTATGAGTCGATTCCATGACATCATTGTATGATAAATTAGTGTGCATGTGATACTGACTATGTATGTGTATTGTTTATATGTGATTGATGCTTGTGACTTGTAATATGTTTGTTGTGTGTGTGCTATCTAACCTTTATTTCTGCACCTGAACCTGAGTGAAATGTTTCTCACTCCCTTGTTATTCTTTGTATGTGTTTAAATTATGTTGCAGGTGATCATCAGCATAAGGATATTGGTGATGAGGCTTAGGCTTCAGTTGGGCATGCTCTGATAGGATATGTGACATCGGGGCATAGTTAGGCTTAGTTTAGGATATTATTTCCATTAAACTATTTGAAAACTCAGTTTTATTTTTAAAATTTCACTGACATATTTGGATTAAGTTTATGAATTTGAACTCTTTACCCTTGTGGTTGGAGATTTGGTTTTTAATGATGAAGAATTTTATTTTTACAATTATTGTATATGTATGTTGGGGTAGAGGGTGTCACAGTTATTAGACCTATCGTGCAACCTGTTATCAAGTTGTTATCAGATCACTCACAGATGCTCATTTCGGAACGGCCCGTTCCGAACTCCCAATTCACGCACAAAATAGTCTAATTTAGTTAATCTTTCTAAGCTCATTTTATTATTATTATATCATCATTTTTTTAAAAGATAAATGTTAATCTATGACCATAAAAATAAAAATTTGAATTAATTTGTAGTTAGAGATTTGACCTTGGAGATTTAAATGAGTAAAAACTAAGGTGAAACATCTTTTTATTATTTGAAATTATGATAAAACTCATTTATCCTAACTAGTCACTACAAGAATAATTCAAATTTCACTATAACAAGAAAAATCTAAAATATATAACTAATATTAGTTACAAATAATTTTGTGCATTCTATTTATTTATTTATTGGATAATTGTTTTCACTCCTTATTTTTCTTTGTTTTAAAATTAAATTAATTATAATACAAAATAGATGAACTTTCTAACTATACTAGGCTCTTTTACCACAATTATCTTAATCGTATTCTCTGACACAAATTGGAGCATTGATGTAGTTGCAAATTCCGTAACTTTTTAAGACATATGATTATCAACTTTTGTATTTTCTCAAAACCAGGAAACTCTTACCATTATAAATGACCCTATAATAATTACTTTTTACCTATCTCTAGCAAATCATACTAATCCAATAGTAACTTTATTTCAACCTTATATGTAAAAAAAATAAATTGTAAATAAATACATTATTGTATATACTGTGATATATATAATCTAATTATATGTACATTAGTTCATGAAATTTTCTTTTGTTTCTATGATAAATATTATTAATTTTATAATTGAATTAATAAGTTACAATAAAGATATTATTTTATTAATAAGACTTTTCATTATCGTTCAAAATAGAAATCGGTGTTTAATTAAGATATAAGAGTTGATTTGATATATGAGTAAAAAATAATATAATGGTTATAATTGTGAAAAATAGGAATACAATAATAAAAAAAGACTTTTATTATATTTGTTATAATTGTTAACATAGATCAATTTGTTAGACTTAATTATAAGTTTCTTTTAAAAACTTAAATTCTAATCTCTTTATTTATGATTTGAATATTTTTTAGTCCTTGAAGAAAAGAAGCCAAGAAAGTATATAAATTAAGATATTATATTTTTATGAGAGATTACAATGTGTCAATTGTATAAACTCTCATCACTGGGCACAGCAACTGGTTCAGCCGCAGGGTAGTCCAACGCAACACAAGCATTCCAAACATTCTCACTTCTATGCAAGATCTGATGTTCATTCGGGAACTTTTTTAATTTCAAAATATATTTTGTCATATCATCATGGCATGCTTTTCCAGCATCACTCACAAGTGTGTCACAACATTCACCACTAATTGTTTGGCTACCATAAAATACAGCTGAGAATATCTCGTCACCACAACCTGGGTCTAACTTGGCTGCACAGGTGCTTAGATGATCATCATCATACGATGATGATGGTTCTGGTGCATTTGATGCTTCTGCTTCTGGAATATCACGTGAAACCCCGGTTTGGATCATTAATGCAGAACTAATCACGAAACATAGAACTATCATAGAAATGTTGCTGAATGTGGCCATAGTTTGATGATCAAATATAAATTTAAGCTATGCTTAGTTGGTAACTATAGAAGAAGCTTTGATCATGGCTTGAAATGGTTGGAATAAACCTATATTTATAGGTGAATGTTGTCTTAATTATGTGGAACTGACTCATCTTATAATTATCTTTAATTATGAAGATTTTTTTTACAGGATCTTTAATGAAGAAATAAAAACCTAAATTGACTAATGTGAAAACAAACACCCGTTCGGTTATTAATTCACGTACTAACGTTTCCACCGTATTTTTAAGTTTAACCTAACTTATGGGAGAAACATTAATGCACTTGACACGAATCGGTATTGACATATTGTTACAACTTGCAAATCATATTTATTTTCTATTGTACTTTTCCATTCTCAATTTTATCATTATAATTTTAGTTTCTTTATTTTAAAATAGAGATATTTAATCTTCAAAAACACAAAATTCTGATTATCGTGTTAAATTGAAATCTTTGTTAAATTTTAATTATAAGTGATGTGATATTTAAAAATTAAATTTTTTTTAAAAAAACATGAAAATAAAAATTATTAATAAATAAATATGAATCACTACTTAAAATATAAACAAATAAAGATCTTTTATATGTTATTTTTAATTTTTATCTTTATATGTTATTCATTAAATATCACATTATTTAAGTGATGACTAATTAATAACCATATAAAATAAAAATTTAATGATTAATGCATATTAAATTGATAATAGTACTAGAATTTAATATTTTAAAAATAGATGACTAAATGTCTATATTGTAAAATAAAGGAACCATTGCAGGTAAAAAAAAGTAGAAGATTAAAAGTACAATTTAATCTATGTTTTTAATCCTTATGATAGATTACAAAGATAGTAAGAAGATATCAAATTTAAATTTTCATACTTTTATTCCAATTCTTTCTCTCTCAACTATTATGTTAATCTTAGTGGGAGATACAATTTATAGGAACTTCAAACTCTTAAAAGAATTAAATAAAATAAAAAGAAATACTAATTGTGATACTTGTTAAAGATTTCAAATATACGAGTGTGGACAATGACAGACTTACATGGTGGCTAGACCAGAGCATACAAGCACCCCCTCAATTTGAAAAAGATAATTATAAATATACTTTCCTAATTTTATGCATTTGAATTCACACTTTTTAATTTTTTACTCATTACAAATAAATATTTTATATTTTTATATTTTGTTCTAAATTTTATATATTTGAATTTATTACATTGATGTCACCATTGATTTTGAGTTTTATATTTGTCATTAGATATAACCATAATAGTATACATAAATAGAGAGTCATCACCTTATAAGTTAGTTTTATAAGGTTTAGTTATATTCAAATCCATTTTTTTAAGATGATACTAGAGTTTATTGTAACAATTATTGATTGTTATTGTAACACACCAATTTTCACAGATTATTCGAAAGCTCAAAGCCAAATAAGGGTGATTTAACAGTCCAGAACGGGCCGTTCCCAAACTAAAATGGGTCGTTCCAAACTACTAAACCTTTGACTTGAAATAAAGCAGCTAATGGTGCTTATTGCTAGAGATAGAGTAAATGCCATTGTCTTTCTTAAGCTCTGGGTTTTAAAGCTGGTTTCTTGGTTAAACTATGCAAGAGATTGATAGTTTAAGTTAGCAACTTAGATTCCAACTTGTAAGAGATTAGGGTTGGTTACTTTTGAGAGTGATTGATAAATTCTAAATAATAACTATTGTGAACTTAGTGATAAACATGAGAGGAAGGTTTAGTGAAGTCAAACCCCAACAACTTATTAATATTGCATTAGAATCAAGTTTTGCACTCTAAGTGTTTACCAAAATACCAAAAAGAATTGTTATTGCTTGTTTACATTATTTACTATAGCAAATCAAACTCTTATTGCTTTTCGGTAGCTTAATTAGTATAACAAGTGAAACTGCAAAGTGTTGCGAAAGTCCCTTGGGAGACGATACTCATACTTTCATTGAACTACTTATACGATTTGGTACACTTGTCAAGGGAGATAACAGTGATGAAATGATATAGTGAATGTGTGACATGCACCATGTGCATATATGATCTATTCCAAGTGTGCGTCTTAGTCCGCATACTAGTGATGTAACAAGCTAACAAGGTGTTCCTTGGGTCACCAGTGATGTAACAAGCTAACAAGGTGTACCTTGGGTCACCAGTGATGAAATGATCTATTCTAGGTGTGCTGCTTAGGCCGCATACTAGTCATGTAACAAGCTATTCTAGGTGTACCTTTGGTCACCAGTAATGTATTCATGAAGTGATGAGAAATGTGAAACTTCTGTATGGCGCCACGTGCATGCATTTATGAGTCGATTCCATGACATCATTGTATGATAAATTAGTGTGCATGTGATACTGACTATGTATGTGTATTGTTTATATGTGATTGATGCTTGTGACTTGTAATATGTTTGTTGTGTGTGTGCTATCTAACCTTTATTTCTGCACCTGAACCTGAGTGAAATGTTTCTCACTCCCTTGTTATTCTTTGTATGTGTTTAAATTATGTTGCAGGTGATCATCAGCATAAGGATATTGGTGATGAGGCTTAGGCTTCAGTTGGGCATGCTCTGATAGGATATGTGACATCGGGGCATAGTTAGGCTTAGTTTAGGATATTATTTCCATTAAACTATTTGAAAACTCAGTTTTATTTTTAAAATTTCACTGACATATTTGGATTAAGTTTATGAATTTGAACTCTTTACCCTTGTGGTTGGAGATTTGGTTTTTAATGATGAAGAATTTTATTTTTACAATTATTGTATATGTATGTTGGGGTAGAGGGTGTCACAGTTATTAGACCTATCGTGCAACCTGTTATCAAGTTGTTATCAGATCACTCACAGATGCTCATTCATGTAAATTTCATGCTTGAAATATCTAATCCTCTACGTGAGAGGTGTGTTGAATATCTCACATCAATTACTAAGAAGGTCAAAATAGTATATATATAAGTAAGGATAATCATTATCTTATATAAGCTAATATCATAAAGTTGAGTTAGATTTTAAATCTACTAGTAGGGTCCTTATGCCTCTATTAAAGATGAAATAAAAATAACTGGTGTTATGATTAGTCCATTTGTTTCAAGTTATTGAATTTGATAAAAAAGATATTATTTTTCTAATTTTTTTAAAACAAAAGAGTATATATAGTCAACAAAATGTGGAGAGCAAAATGATTACTAAAAATAATATCTTCTTTATAAATTAGTGTAAAATCAGTATAGAATAGATTAGTCCATTAGTTTCAAGTTCTTGAATTTGATAAAAAAAAATATTTTTTCTAATTTTTTAAAATAGAAGGGTATAATGGTCAACAAAATGTGAAGATTAAAGTAGTTATTAAAAAAATATCTCATTTATATAAATTAGTATAGATATATCTTTGTGACACACTTTTTTCAATTGAGTAAAAATTAAGCAAGTCCAATTAAATTTATAATTAAATTACGTAATCTATTTAGTGGGTTCCATAAAAAGTTAATTAATGAAATTGTGTGAAATTCAACTAATAAGATATAATACATTAAAAAAATAAAGAGGGATGAAATAATTTTAAGAGTAACTGGTGAAGTTATTCTACTTAATAACTCATGTTGTATGTTAAATTTTAAAGATTCTTTATATATCATATTTCATTTGTATTTCCATGAATAATTGACGGAAAGGTATACAATTTGAAATATTCTCAAAATTGAAGACAAAATTTATTAAAAAATTATTGACACAAAATGTAATTAAATTTAAATATAATTAAATAAATTAAGGATTTAATGGTCATGCATTATTAATGTAAATTTTTTTTACATAATCAATTTATTGAAATTCATAATTTAAATATGATTTTTAATATAGCTATATATTAATTATATATAAAATATTCTTATTATGTGAATTGTGATGGGATGAGAGTGAAAACTATTTTATACTGTTTATATGTTACCATTAAACACATAAATTAATCTCTAATTCCTTTTACATGAAAGTTTAGGAGTATATTGTCTATTCCTTTTGTTTGTTTAAACTTTTTTAAATGTTTGTTTAAGAGAAAAATTCTTATTAAAATTTCAGAGGTTTTTAAGTAAACTTTTATAATAAGCGAAAACAACAACATAAAAACTATTTTTTTTCTAGAAGCAACTTTGAGTTGTTTCTTAGAAAAGAAACACGGCTAGTGAGATCAAGTATTTTAAAAAATACTTTTTTACTTTGTAACAAACACAAATCAGCTTATCCAGGAATCTCTTTAAAATAAATCAATTATTTTATAAACACCATTTTGAGCCTAAATAAATGACCAATTATTATTTAATGATATTTAGTCTCGTATCTTAATTTGTTACTCCAAGTTTTCTATAGTGAATGGTTTGTTCATAAATTAGTGATTAACACTTTTCTATAGTGATCAACACATTTATAGCGAGTTTAATTGCAATATGTTTTTATCATTAGTATTATTTTATATACGTCTCAGTTACCTAAATTTTTAGTTTTATACATCATGAAAAATAATAACATCTGTTCAACAACTTTGGTCATAAAAACTTGATTAAGAGATGTAGTTGCTACCGTACCACTTGTATTAATTAGTTTTAGTAGTTAAATTGTTGTTTAATTTAATTAAAGAACACAAGATACAATGTTTAAATTAAAATATTGTATTTTTATGAGAGATTATTACAATGTGTCAATTGTATAAATTCTCATCATTCTGGTCATGAATTGTAGGTTCAAGGTCAGGGTAGCCCTGCAAAACACATTCATTCCAAACCTTCTCACTTCTCTTCAAGACCTGAGACTCATTGATGTTGGGTAACATTTCAGATTTCAAAATAAAATTTATCATATCATCATTGCATTCTTTCCCTACATCACTCACAAGTGTGTCACAACAATCACTACTAACTGTTTTGTTACCAAAAAATATAGCTGAGAATATCTCGTCACCACAAATTTGATCTAACGATTCTGCACAATTGATTAAATATTCCTT